TACCGCTGTACCATTTGATTCTCCTTTCACTTCTCGATGTTAGGTACGTGAGTTATATTAGGTAGTCTTGCTGAGGTACCCTTTTGACCATTTGGCCTAGTTGCATATCGAAAAGCTGTAGGGACTGTTCCAAACTAGGACATGATGCTCACACAAATACAGGATTGCGTGAAACCGCATTGTTTGAATAGTGAACCCTAGCTCCTGACGAAACTAAGACAAGGAAACCCTAAACCTCTCATAGGGGTATTTTGAATGCTTTTGTGCAAAATGTGAAATCTTTGGAAATGTATGATGCAATCCTCGGAGAGTCTTAATATTGAGGCGATTCCTTTCAAACTTGAGGATCATATCAGAATCAGATTTGGGTCGAAATCCAGGGGTTTGCGTTTGATATGGGTGAATTTTTTACAAAACCAAAACCATGGGCCAAAATTGTATCTTACTTTGCTTTGACCAGCATATCCGGTATCCCAATCTGATGGAGCATTTGTTTTTAATGCTAGGTTTGTCTGAACCAGAGAAGGAGCAGTACCAGCCTTCACCCATTACAGTCCATCTAATTCTAGAAAAAAAAAAAAAAAAAAAAACCACTCAACAAAAGGTCTAGTCCATCTGATCCCTAAAAGCCAGCTCAAAAAAGATCCGATCCCATCAAATATAACCGAGTCGAAATCCTTGTTAGTCAACTCTTGGCTTACACCCATCTATTTCCTCGATTGCCAACTCAGCAGACCCGTAATGACACAGTCCAGAAGAAGTTGTGGCCATGATAGCGGCGTTAAACCAGGGAATTACCATGCAGGATGAGACTAATGCTGAAATGCAACGCCCATCTGGGGCATCTACTACACTTCCAGTCCCGGGCCCCCAATCGAACTTTGATCCACCTCTGCCAACTGAAGATTTGCAAGGTCCAGATCCCCGAGAAGGGTTGGCTCAAGCTCGAGTTTTCAGACCCCTGGTGCAGCCTAATGATGGGGCTTTATCCCTTTGATACTAATGATCTTGATCCGACCTTGTTAAAAATTGCTAACCTTAAGAAGCAATTCAAAAAGGCACAGGGAATTACCTTCATTCCTGACATTGAGGATGGGTACACTGAGGTTGTCGTAAGACTCCCAGACAGAATCAAAATGCCACACATTGACCGTTTCGGTGGGTCTGGAGATCCTATGGTACATATTCGGCTTTTCTTGGACATACTGAAACCAATGGCTCTGACTAAGCCTCAGAAACTCTCTTTGTAAGGAAGAACCTTGTCAGGTATAGTAGCCACTTGGTATGCCAAGTTGGAGGATAAAGTGAAGCAGAATTGGGAAGAGTTGGCTAAGGCGTTTGTCAATCAGTACTCTTACATTACCCAACTTGAAATGACCATTCAAGAGCTTGAAGTAACCTACTAGAATCCTGGAGAACCTTTTGTGGAATTTGTTGCAAGGTGGAGAGAAAAGGTCGCACAAATGACAGATTGACCTTCTGAGAGGGACCAAGTGCAAATAGTGGTGCAAAACCTTGAGCATGATATGCTACAAAAGTTAATAGTTGCTCCACTATTTACTTTCAAAACTTTGCATGAATTAAGGGTTCAGATTGAGAGTGCATTTAACAGAGGGATTATTCCCAGAATAAGTGAACCAACAAGGAGGGTTGTTTTTCGGGAGTGCCAATGCTATTCCTAAACCCACGGAAAGCAACACTGTCACCACTCCCAAAACTGTCGACCCATTTGCCAATGCCAACCCACAAATAGCCGGCCCAACCCGAGCTCAAGGCAGAACTTTCACCCTCCTCTATATCAGCCTAACCAACGCACTAAAAGTCCTAATCGAAAAAGGGTATCTTAAATCCCTTGATCCCCAACCTCTTCCTGACCCACTCCCTACCAGACATGACCCCACCAAATACTGCATGTATCATCAGCAACGTAGTCATGGCACTGATCGTTGCTACCACCTTCGCCATGAGGTTTAGAATCTCATTGACAACCAGACAATAGCTCCACCTCAAGACCCTAATGTTACCACCAACCCACTTCTTATCCATGACTGAATATCTCCTGCCCACCTTAACCTCATCTATATACTCCCATCTACCTTCAACCCTAGTATATACATCACCCCGGCCTAATTCTAAGGTGTTCATTCCAGAAAGTACTGATTTGTGCATGATGGATGCACCTAGTCTAGTTCAGGTACGCCAAGGGCACCAAATGGGTGAACCCACTACTGCTGAGATGTAGGGAATGATTGAAAACCTTCATGGAACGGTGGAAGATTTAATATTTGGGGTTTCGATCCCGTCAAAAAGCTCCCCAATCTTGGGGTGAGCTGTAGTTGAAAAAGGCCAACATGAAACTATAATGCTTTACCCGAAACACCTATCCTAATTCTAGTCCCAAGCCTATGAATACCCGACCAACACCCGCCACTCCATTTGCCAATATTACTAAACCTAATGCTTTCTCCTCCCGAAAATGAACCTTCGCCCAACTCCATATGAGCTTAACCTGTGCATTGAACGTACTGATGGAGAAATGGTATCTCAAACCGCTCAATCCTCGACCTCTCCCTAATCCTCTCCCACCTAGACACGACCCTACCCAATATTGCGCATTCCAACAACAATACGGTCACCATACTGACTATTGCTTTCGCCTTCGCCATGAAATTCAAGATTTGATTGACAACAAAGTCATCACCCCACCTGAATATCTTAAAACTGTCAATAACCCTCTCCCTAGCAGCAATAGATTGCCATTCCAATAACATAAAACCCACCCATAGCTTGCCAACAACCAGCCATTACCCTAGCCAACACATTCTACCTGCCAATGAGCCCAAACCTATTGTGTTCATTCCTGAATCTTCTAATTCCGATCTGAGCAAAAGGAACAAAATTTTTGAAGGGATGGAAAGTTTACTCGATCTTGATAAGTTCAAGCTTGATGAAGCAGTGATGCCAGCACTGGTGGTTGGAATGATGAATCTCAGTCTCAGCTAGAGTAATTGTCAAAAGTACTTGGGAAGGACCTTCTGAACTAGGGGCATGGTGCCAACACACTTTTGCTGCTTAGGCTGCCAAGACGCAGCTCCCCCTACAAAAGTGAACAGAATTCCTGATGTAGATCTTCTACCATCAAGATCTCCTGCCATATCTAAATCCGTATAGCCTTCCAAGACTGGTTTAGCATCTCTAAAGCACAAACACATTTTTGCCGTACCCTTGAGGTACCTTAATAACTGAACTTCCAATCCCGTACCTCTACTTCCCTCTAACACCACCGAACCAACTCCACAACCATAATCCCCAACCACCATCATCATCATCATCACTCAAAATATAATCAGCCACCTCCATCTCAAACAAAACCCAGAGAGAGGGAGAGAGAGAGAGAGAGAGTAGATTCAAACCAAATTCCAATCGGATCTCGACCAGATCCGTAAACGCATACCTTCACTTGCTAATCTTTACTAACCCTGACCTCTATGTATGAAATACATGGATTCCATTGCACAAATTAGACTGTTCAAAACTCATAAAACAATACAATGTGTGTGTGCGTATATATATAGACTAACTTAAATCCATGAGTTCCATATAGAACAATTCAATAACATAATGCTTGAACAAATTTGCATCAATTAAGGTGAGAAAAAGAAAATCAAAAAAAGAACTACATCCTACATTTGAATCTGACCCAATGTATAATGAGCAAGTTTGTACCATATCCAAGACAAACTAGAATTGGTCTAATTCACATGGTGCCCTATTACCGTCAGAGAAAGCGTTTAAGGATAGAATGTGATTCAAATTAGTGCTTTAGTACCTTTAACAGAAACAATTTAAGGCCACGATTAATATATTGCAAAACCTAAATGTCCTTAAAACTTAGTCAATGTTATACTACTCCATGGTGTTATGACATCAATTATCGTGAGATGACAATTTTTTAGTTAAAGTAATTTTTTGAAATCAAAGATGAGAAGTGGCCTAGTGATAGAGTAGGGTCACATTTGATTCGGAGATAAGGGGACAACCTATGACTAGCTTATACTATCATATTTTAAATTTGTGACTTCAGATAACTTTCTAAAATAGATATTATGTTTTTTGGGTTCATACTTCTTTCCCAATATTTAAAATGGGGAAAATTACTTATCATTTTTATATGATAAAATGTGAAGTATTCCCAATCTAAAAAAATAAAGAAACAGTTTTTATTTTCATGCATTTTTATAAAATATAGTTTTGTATTTGTTATCATGACCCTTTGTGTCAAGTCCTAAATTTTTTTGAAAATTTTTGTGAATACAATATAAGTTAAATTTTTTCGCCATTTCCCTTTTTCTTTTCCTATCCAAATTTCTATCGAGATAATCCAAATACAATGTAAATATAAAATATGAAATATAAAAAATTAAATCTAATTGAATAAGTAAAATTCACACAGAATATTGACAAGTAAATCATACCTTAATTTATTTATTTTTTTCCAACTCCATGCCATCAAAATTTCCAAAGTTTGAAGTAAACCTATTTTATTACCCAAATAAAAAAGAAAAAAAGAAAGGAAGATGCTATAAAAGCATTTACTCTTGTTTCCAAGCAATAGAAAACATTTAGAAGGGAAAATTAGGTCTCTACATTTTGTCATCTTTTGATCCTTACACTTTTAATTGACTCACTTTTTACCCATAATTTTAGATTTTTTTAAATTTTTTTTTATCAATTTGGTTCAATTTTACAAAAAATTAATACTGAATTGGTTGATGTTAACTCACTCAGTTGAATAAATTTATAATTTTGTCATTAAAAATATAACACCCGCCAAGAATTGTAATCAATTGGATAAAATTGAGATAAAGTCATAAAATAATGATAAAAATTAAGTCAATTGAAATTATAATGATCAAAGTAGAGGGATCGTAATTTGCCCTATTTAGAAAATAAAACAATAGCAAATCCAAAATGGTGAAATCTGGATCTTAGAAAATTACCTGAAGACTGAGGAGGCATGTCTCTCACTCCTTTTCAGTCCCAACCCCTTAAACGATGAAACCAATGGGATGAAGAATGGGTTTATATCAGTTCCAAAAACCTACCAATCAATTTAAAAAAATATCCATGAAAACCATTGGAAAATAACCAGATCAATTTTTAAAAAAAAAATACACGGATGTTAACAATTCGAATGAATAAAAAAATAGAAAATAACAAGATCAAAAAATAAAATAAAATTGATAAATAAAATAACCAGATCAATTTAAAAATAAAAAATAAAAAATACACAGATGTGTATTCACAGACTCAACGCAAGAGGTAAAGGATCTCAATCTATAAAATGATAGAAAAAACTAAATACTTACTCGAAAACAGAAAACAAATTTTCTTGTTCCTCTTGAATCCTAACCCAATTTTTCAAAGCCTGGGGGTTTTTTTTTCCCACCGATATGACAAAATGAAAGAACAATAAAGTTATGAGATAGATTTGTCAATAAAATTTGATTTAGCAGATTATGTGGGCAACTTTGATTTATATAACACTTAGAATATCTTACGCTTTGTTTGGAAACAAACTTTTTTAGTAATTTTTTTATTTTTTTTGGCTAAAATATAATATAAAAAAATTAGTATGTTTGGAAATTTTTTTTGATTTTTTACGAAAAAATGTGCAAAAAGTAGAGAGAAAAATGAATTTTTGACTTTTTAGTATAGATTGTTAACTTTTTTATTTGTTTAGTGACTTTTTAATTTTTTGACTAAAATCATAACTTGCCAAACGAAACCTTAGTACACACTAACTACTAAAAATTCTTATTTTTTCTCAATTCGTAATAATAATTTTTAAATAATATTCTTTATCTTCATCAATTTTAAACATTTAACTTTAACCATAGCCACCATCCGTGGTCGTCGCTCTTGGCCCCATCATCTTTTGCCCTTCAACGTCTTAACACCTTCCTATTTTACATAAATTTCAATTTCTCTCTCTGTATCTAAAGCGGGGTCGGTGGGGCTTGTACATTGCAAAGTGGGAAAAGTCTCGGAGAATACATCGCAGAGGGGGGGCAATGGAAGTTGTGCATCGCAAGGGTGGAGTCGTGCTAATGATTGTTATGAGGTGATGAGGCACATGGGCTAAGGGGCGACGACGGGAAAAATAATTTAAAAATATATATTTATAATTATTTAATAAAAAATAATTTATGCATATATGAAATTAATGATTTAACTAAATTATTTATTAATAAATTATATATTCATGACTTATAGACCATAATCCCATAAATATTCTTATAAAATTATAAGTCCTATCTCACATTAAAATCTCTCAAATAAAATATACCCACATTTGTAAACATAATAAGATAATAGTACATACATTAAAATATAATAATATCACATTGTCACATTTGACAAAAGTTTAATAAGATAATAGTGCACAAATATCTTATTGTCACATTTTAAGAAGAATGGCATATTTAATAAAAATTTAAAACAACAATAGTGCACACATTAGAATAATGTCACATTATCACATTTTAAGAACGATATATTTAACAAAAATTTAATAAGACAATAGTGCACAAATGTCTCATTGTAACATTTTAAGAATAATGACACATTTGGTAAAAGTTTAATACGACAATAGTGCATATTTAAAATAATGTTACATTGTCACATTTTAAAAATGATACATTTGACAAAAGCTTAATACGAAAATAATTTTTGCACAAAAGAAGTATACCACATTTGAAATATCTGAAAAATATTTTCAAATTCAATGGGAATAAGGGGTTATTGGGGAAGTGCTAGATTAGTATAATTTTTGACTTTTTATGAAAAAAAAATATGAAATTTGCGTTGGATTTGAAGTGATGTGATAGAGAGGTGATGTGACTCAAATAAGATAATTTGTTAAATAGTTGTGCCATTTTAGCACATGTAAACTGCAAGAAATGTGATCATCAAAACAAAAAAAACAAAAAAAAAAAAAAGACTACAAGAAAATTCATGAGATTTTTCGATACATATTTTTTTAGAATGGGACTTCTAGGTAAATTTCCCAAATACGGAACCAAAAAAAAAAAAAAAATCTCAATCCAATATATCATGTCATGAAAATGTAAATTGTGTTTCCATAGATAGATAGATTGTCATTAATTATCTCTCATACATTTTTTGAAGTCTTTATCTTAAATCTCTCCAATATTCAATTCTTAGTCAACTTTCCTTTAATTTTATTTTCTCTTAGGGTTGGTTTGTGAAGTGGGTTGGCTTTTTGGCTTTTTGATTTTTTTGGCTATTTTAGACTGGGCTAAAAAGTCTGGTTTGAGAAGGATTTTTTTGGCTTTTTTGACTTTTTTTTGTGAGAGAAGAGTATAATGATTATGGATTGGATGTGATGTTTTATTTTTTATGGCTAAAATAGCCTATTTTGTCTTTAATATATTTTTTAAAGAGAATTTATCTTAAATATGTTATCTCTATAAATTACAATCTAGCAGTTACGGTGTGAATTAAATGCCCTAACACTTGGTGGGTTGGCAACTCGAATTCATGATTAGGAAGTTGAACAAATTATGTGAATACAACTTTAGATAAAAACTTAATAAGACAATAATGTAGAAATGAAATATACTCACATTTGAAATCTCTAAGAAATATTGTAAAACAACCTTACGGTGTACCTTTTTCAAATTCAATGGGACTAAATAGACTACAAGAAAATTCATGAAATTTTTTGGTACATATTTTTTTAGGATGTGAGTTCTAGATAAATTTTCCAATTACAGAAAAAACAATCGTATCCTATGTATCATGTTATGAAAATGTAAATTGCATTTCCCTAGATCGATAGATTGTCATTAATTATCTCTCATACATTTTTTGAAATCTTTATCTTAAATCTCTCCAATATTCAATTCTTAGTCAACTTTCCTTTAATTTTATTTTCTCTTAGGGTTGGTTTGTGAAGTGGGTTGGCTTTTTGGCTTTTTGATTTTTTTGGCTATTTTAGACTGGGCTAAAAAGTCTGGTTTGAGAAGGATTTTTTTGGCTTTTTTGACTTTTTTTTGTGAGAGAAGAGTATAATGATTATGGATTGGATGTGATGTTTTATTTTTTATGGCTAAAATAGCCTATTTTGTCTTTAATATATTTTTTAAAGAGAATTTATCTTAAATATGTTATCTTTATAAATTACAATCTAGCAGTTACGGTGTGAATTAAATGCCCTAACACTTGGTGGGTTGGCAACTCGAATTCATGATTAGGAAGTTGAACAAATTATGTGAATACAACTTTAGATTAAAACTTAATAAGACAATAATGTAGAAATGAAATATACTCACATTTGAAATCTCTAAGAAATATTGTAAAACAACCTTACGGTGTACCTTTTTCAAATTCAATGGGACTAAATAGACTACAAGAAAATTCATGAAATTTTTTGGTACATATTTTTTTAGGATGTGAGTTCTAGATAAATTTTCCAATTACAGAAAAAACAATCGTATCCTATGTATCATGTTATGAAAATGTAAATTGCATTTCCCTAGATCGATAGATTGTCATTAATTATCTCTCATACATTTTTTGAAATCTTTATCTTAAATCTCTCTAATATTCAATTCTTAGTTCAACTTTCCTTTAATTTTATTTCCTCTACTATATTTTTAAAAGAGAATTTATCTTAAATTTATTATCTCTATAAATTATGTACGAGGAGTAAATATTCTTTACTTCTGCACTCCTTGCGTCTAAGCTCCAAGTTACTCCGACTGACGTCACTCAGCTTGAAAACACAACGATGGTGAGCTACCTGGCGGGTGTGTAGCCAGAAAACCCCTCTGACGATCAAGTTAGCACCCTTTTAGAGAGAAGAAAGACAAAAGCAAAGGTAGCTCTTAGTATGGAAAGTTGCAGACCTTTTGCATGGAGGTGCTGCAGAGCTTATATAGTTTATGCGCACTACATTGCTTGCCCTTTCTTGGACGCGTGGACATACTATCCTCTCTTTGCCTTACACGTGTACGCATCAATCCTGCCAAACAACATTAGCTAAACTTCCAAATGGTATTAACACATACTCTAGGCGGATTCTTCCCCTTGCGATCCAATTGGTCTATGTAGCATACATTCATCGAGTTGATTATAGCTCGGTCTGCCTTAACACCTTGCGGACCGGATTGGCTTTGCCAGACCACCATGAGCAACTCCATAGGCTAGGTTTCCTCAGCCTGCATCTTAGTTAGCCTTATGCAACCCTTCACAACTTGTAGCTTGGCTGGGGGTCGCATCTTGGTTAGCCTTATACAACCTTCACAACTTGTAGCTCGGCCGAGGGTCACATTATCTCGACCACTTCTCGAACCTATTTTGGGAGACGTTGATGTAGCCCGGATGAGATCTGTAGCTCGGCTAGAATCAACACTCGCCTCACCTACCTCGGTCCAAGATTCGAATCCACTGCTTGGCTCGATCTCATTTGCCGAGGACTTTGTGGCCCGATTGCCAAGTCAAGGCACACAAGTTTTTCTCGGCCCATTTGTCTAGCATAAATTCTCTTCTTAATTGCCCCTTAATTTCATCTGCATTTGCATGACTAGAATTACATCTCCCAGCTAAGATACTCCATGCTCGACTGTCAATCTTGCTCGGTTCGCGAGCCCTCCGTATTCAACGGCATTTTCTCCAATGTCTAACATCACGTCTCTTTGCAGACACGTAGCAACTCCTTGATGGCCCCATACCGACAATCCAGCTGTCATGTACTCATTCCCAAAATTCAACTCATGGCATCTTTTTACCTTCTACATATATAACCACTACTTATACCTTTTCGTCTTCATTGTTTATCATCTTCTCCGATGGAAAACTTAGTGACCCAAAGCTCCTATCCCTGATTTCTTGCATTTTGTGCCCAAATCGAAGCATTCCTTTTGCGAATTCTGCATCATTGTCACCTTTAGAGCATCTTTCACTGATTAGAGCATCGATTAGAGCTCTAACCCGTAAGTTTTTCATATCCATTAGTATTCTTTATTGTTCTTCATGAAGTTCTTCATGTTCTTGAGCCCCTACTGTGTTACTCGCATCCGAAACAAAGTAATAGCATCTTAAACCATTAAAAAAATTGGGTAAACTAGGGTTTTACACCATCTTTAGAGTTAAAGTGCCTCTGATTCTTCATCCATGAACGTATTGTTCATCTTTTGAGATAAACATGGGAGGATCTGGGCCAAACTGGCAAAATTTCATTTTTTGATCTAAAAATCGACTAGGACCAAACAAACCAAGAGTTTGCAACGATACTGTATAGAACCGAGCTAAAACCCAACTTAGTTGCGCGACCGAGCTAAAATCCAGCTTAGCTGGGTGACCGGGCTAGATTACAACCTTATGCACAACCGAGGTAACATCTAGCAGTTACGCATGACCGAGCTAATACCCAGCATATCTGCGCGACCGAGCTAAAACCCAGATCACTCGTGCGACC